CTCAACACCCCCTTGACCATGAACCAGAGGACTCAGGAATCCCAGAGTCAGGTACCCTGTGTCCTTTGCACCCCACGTTCATCACTGCGCCACTGGTGTGGGTGTGTCCCCAGCACTCGCGTGAATGACTCTGCAGACACTGAAGATGTGCACCTACAAGGTGAAGGCGGTAGCAGGGCTGCCAGAGCCGGGGCCCCAGCAATACTGGTCTTATACCATTTCCTTGCTGGGCATCACGCTTCCCGTCCACTCTGCTTCTCTGACCGCTCTCTCTGTGTGACGAGCAAGGAGCCTCCTCGGAGGGGCAGTGGCGGCCCAGTGGTGTCCATCTGGGAGACTCGGGCTCCATTCCCGGCCATTGGACTCGTGCACACACACAGCTCTCCAGTGGAGGCATGCGTGTGACAGGCATCATGGAAGCTTCCAGGGTAAGACCCACGATGAGGATAGGTCCGGTGATCCGCTGGTGAACGCTCTTTGGAGCACAGTGGTCTGGTCTGGTTTGCTCTGCCCTGCATCGGGTCACAGCGAAACGGGTCAACTCAGTGACCGGCGATGACAACACAGTTTGCAGGCGGCATCCTGTTAGCTGTCTTTGCTGTACGTAGTCGGGAAGAGCCCTGGAAGACCACCTCCTCACCTCCCTGTCATCCTTTTGTAGGATCCCAGTGGCCCCACGGGGTGAGTTTGGACTCCTGGCCACCCCAGATCTGTCTGAATAGAGTGGGTGCCCCACAGGGTTGTCACTGGTGGGTTTTTAAGAAGTAGGTCATCCAACATTGATTGTAGAGTACGTTGACAGGGAGCTTGACAGAGGTTCAGGCCAGATCCAGAAAAGGATGTGGCATTGGGGATATCATTGCTGATGTCAGATGGATCTTGGCTTGAAGCAGAGCGTAGCAGAAAGATGTTTACTTGCATTTCATTGACTGTGCCCAAGGCATTCGACTCTGCGGACCATAGCAAACTATGGGTAGCCTTGAGAAGACTGGGGCTTCCAGAACCCTTCAATGTGCTCACGAGGAACTTGCACGTGGATCAAGAGGCAGTTGTGCAAACAGAACAAGGGGGCACTGCAGGGTTTAAAATCAGGAAAGGGGTGTGTCAGGGTTGTATCTTGACGCCATACTTATTCAGTCTGTCTGTTGAGCAAATCATCAGAGAAACTACACTATATGAAGAGGAGTGTGGTGTCAGGATTGGAGGAAGGCTTACTAATCACCTGCCATATGCAGATGACATAACCTTGCTTGCAGCCTGGATGACAACTCAATGTAGAAATCCCCAAATCCTCACAATTGCACCAACAGGTAACCCCATGACACATGGAGAAAAGGAGGGAAGCTGGCAAGGATGTTGTCATGCTTAGAGCTGCAGTCCGTGCTCAGGAAGAAGCAGGCAAGAGATCGAAGGATGCATTCTACTGGGGACATCTGCTGCCTAAGACCTCCTTAAAGGTCGCAAGGCAAGGATGTGACTTTAAGGTGACTCAGGTGTGCCTGACCCAGGCCATAACTGCCTCACACGGCTGTGCCAGTTGGACACTGACTAAGGAAGACCGAAGAGGAATCAGTGTACTTGGTGCTAGAGAAGACTATAGAAAGAACCACGTCGGGCCAAAAGGACAGATCAGTCTTTCTTGGAAGAAGGACTTCTGGAGTTCTCCTGAAGAGCAAGGCTGGTGACACTTCATCTCATGGGCTTTGGACATGTCAGGAGAGTCCCTGGAGAAGGACATCATGCTTGGTAAAGTGGAGGGACAGTGAAAATGACCAAGACCCTCAACAAGACTCAAGGACACTGTGGCTGCAACAACGGGCTCAAGCCTTGGGACCATTATGAGGGTGGCACAGGGCCCAGCTGTGTTCCGTTCTGTTGTGCATGGGGTGGCTGTGTAGCAGAAGCGACTCGATGGACCGAACAACACAGGTCACCAGGCCTTTGTTTTGCGGAGCCTCTGGGTCGAAGTGAACCTGAGCCTTATAGTTAGCAGCCGAACGCATTAACAGCTTGGATCACTCCTCATTGCTGTGCACCTCATACCTGTGGGGAGACACTGACTCCAGGGCCTGCTGCTCTGCTCAGATCTTGCCCTCCAACAATTTTCTCCCCACACAGCATCCTTTCTCCCTCCCTGTCACCTGGTCTTCTGGCTGCTTCCCAGCCCTGGCCCCTGCCCCTCACCACCATGCTCTGGCATCTTTAGCTTCAAAGGTGAACTGAGACCCCTGTGATTTAGCAACTTGCCTCCCTTCTGTCCAGTCTTTTGTGGCTCCAGAGAGAGTGCTGCTTCTTGGCATTTCTGCTCGGTCCTCACCTGGATGTTTATCGTGCTGTCTGATCTCCTCTGCTTGCCCCTAGCCCCCACCCCCCACCCCCAGATGCTAAGACCTTACCAGAAGCAGGATCCCCTTCATCTCTGCAACCTCAGCATCGATTGATCGAGCGCAGTGCCTGGGAACTCGCTGCCATGGGAAACCACTGGACGGATGGGGAGTCACGTGTATTTACGCCCATCACAGTGGGAACCAAGACAGGAACCATGTGTGTCCACATCAGACATGGGGACCAGGAAGCTGAACAGTGGGAGTAGATCATGTCCCAGCCTGGAGTCGGATCTTACCTCCCGTGCAGTTGGCCTGCTGATGCATAGACTGGTGCAGCCTGGGAGAGGCTAGCCCAAGTGTGCCCACCTGACACGGCTACTTACAGGTGCTCCACCAACAGCTCCTGCTCTCATGATCAACACGGCCTCATCTAAGGGAATGGTATCCAGTGCCAGTGACGTGCCATTGTGATTAGGATGGACCCTTCTCTAGAAGGGTCTTGGAAAAGACCAGAGGATGAAGAAATGGGAGCTTCAGAATCCTGTCGACCAGGAGGGGTGGCCTGCAGGGTGCCCTCTGGGTTAGAAGCATGGGCGTGTGTAGAAATTAGTGATCAGGATTGAAAGCAACTTGTGTTAGGTGACAGCATCCCTATCCATGAGATCCCTCGACTCCCCAGGACTCCCAAAGCTTCCAGAATTCTCCTGGAGGTCATTCTCCTTGCTCCCATCCTACTGGCCAGTTTTGTTGTCAGCAATTCCGTGCAAGCACAACTGCCTCCATACCTTTTTCGGCCTCAGACAGGTAGACAGTCGGTGACGTCTCATTTTGCTTCCTGGGTTAGAAGGCGACCTGGTATCACCTTAGTTGAGCCGGTCAATACAAGGATCAGGATTAAAAGCTATTTGACCGAGGTTGGTCTTCCCAGCTGTCCTGAATTTGTTCTTCTGTGAGCTGATGGAGAGGATCATGAAGGATGGAATGTGGTTGTAGGTGTCAGCTGGAAAACCGTACATTTTTATGACCTGTAATATTATTTCTTAACCTTTTTGCAATTCAAGTTCAGGAGCCCTTGTGGGTTTAGTTGGTTATGCATTAGACTGTTCAAAAACCTCCGGCTTTCTACTTCCATCCAGAGTTACAGTCTCGGAAACCCAAGGGGGCAGTTCCACCCTGTCCTGTGGGGTTGCTGTCAATGAGAATGGACTTGACAGTAGTGAGTTTTGGGTCTCTCTGAACATTAAAGAGGCATGCCGTTTCTTTTGGACACTTACATTAGAGAATTGTGCTTTTTGATGAGCAAGCTGTGACCTGCACCGAGAATGTACGAAAGGACATCCCTGGTTTTCAAGGGTGCCCCAGGCCATTTGCCCTCACCGAGGCCCCAAGCAGGGATGTACCAGCCATGGCCTCCCCTGTTGGATTTTTTTTCTTTTTTAAAAATCATTTTATTGCAGGGGGTATGTGTCTTGCAGCTCTTAGAACATTCCGTACATCGATTGTATCAAGCGTCTTTGTACATCATCATTTCCAAAACATTTTCTTCTTGGGACCTGTTGGATTCTTGATGCAGTCTAGTTTGCACCTCAGTGGGAAAGTGATGGGAGATTGAAGTCCTTGTGTGACTTACCCTGTTTTGACCAACGTTCAAAGTAGAAGATGTTGTTTTTCCATTTTGCAAGCTTGGTGTTCTTTCACACCAAATGACACTGTTGTCACTGAGTCTGCTATGACTCGTGGTGACCCCCCGTCCAACAGACAGCAGAGAGCCCTGGCCCTGCCCCATCTCTACCATGGTTGATTGGCTCCCGCCTGCCTGCTGCCACAGCCCCTGTGTGTGTGTTCTGTATGCCTCTCAACCTGGACGTGGGGCGAGCCTCCATCACTCTGCTGGACAAGTCTGTTGTGACAGACCCATAGGGGTCCTTCGGGGTTCACGGGCTCATCTTTGGAAGTAAATCACCAGGCCTTTTGTCCTAGCCTGCCTTAGCGGCTAGCCTCCCTTTGAGAGCTGTCCATCTGGATGACCCGGCTGGTGTCTGGACTGAGGTGCCTCGCCACGCTGTTGTCCCTGTGAGCTGCTGTGGGGTTGCTTCCAACCCATGGTGACCGGCCTTCTGTGTGCAGGGTGGAGCTGCCCCAGAGGCCTTTTGGGGCTGTCATCTTTCCACTGCAGATTGTACGGCCAGTCTTCCCAGGTGCCTGCGGGTGGGTTTGAACTGCCAACCTTCCGACTCGTAGTTGAGCACGGCGTCATTTGTGCTGCCCGAATGCTCCTGGGGCATCCTAGCCACATGCAAGCCACTGCAGGTGACACACTGGGGATGGTGGGGGGAGGGAGGGCGAGGCGTCACTCAAGAGGGTTAGCTGTCTACTGCCTTAGGGTTTGAGTGCAAGTCTCGTCTCGCAGGGGCACAAACTTTGTGCATGACTGCAAGCCTAAAGGTGGGTGATTTGAACCCATCTCGCAGCGACAGGGAAATGAGCAATAGGGAAACCTGTCTCGGGAACGATGACAGTTCTGCCGGGAGTCAGGATCGACTGCACAGCCACGGGGCACACACCCCCTGCCAGCCCCACTCCGGGCTTATTCTCGATGGCAACCTTTAAACCAGGCCTTCCTGTGCTCTGGGAGCAGCCACACTCAGGACGCTTTTGTCACTTCTCATGCAGATTTCAGCAATGTCCCGGACATCCCCACGGGTCTGAAGAGGAGCCAGACGGATGGCACCCTGGACCAGGTTCCGCACAGGGAGAAGATGGAGCAGACCTTCAGGGTAAGTTGCTGCCCCAGGCCTCACACCAGGGGCTAGCCGGTAGGGACTCTTCCCCTGACCTCCAGGTGTAGAAAAAGACGAGGCACCTCTCCTGGTGTCCCCCGCAGTCAGTACGACCCCACCACCTCTTAAATACAACAGTGTCCTCTTCCATCGATCATTTTGAAGGCCTAACTGGAACCCTGACCCAGCACCTCCTTCGTGCAATCTGCGTGCCACTGATGGGACCCAGACACCCCCACTCGGAGGGCAGGTGGCTTTGTTCTCCCTGCTTTGACTTAGCGGCCTTGATGCGCGCTCTGGTGTCACCCCGAGGATGCTGCTGCTCTCCCCGCTGTGCCCTGCTCCCTGCGTTTCTCTTCCAAGTCAGAGCAGAGTCAGCCTGCCTTGCTGAAGCCTTGCGACTGACAGGAGCTATTTTCATGCACACCCGGCTGCGAGCTTATTTTGAAACGATCCCTGTCGGAGACTTCTTGCTCTGGTCTTGCATGTGAAATAAGAGTTGAAGAAACTGGGGATGCGATCGGTACTTGCATTTAAAGAAAACTCCTCACAGGACCACAGCCGCTGGGGTTTAGGTGAATACTGCCTGGGGGTCAGCCTTGGGGTACCCTTCTGATGATGGTCACATCCACCCTGAGATGAGGGGCTCGATTTCCACGGGGATGCAGGGGACTGCTGGCGCCCGCTCCTCCATCCTCGCCGTTCTCCCCCATCGTCTTCTTTCGCTGCCTAGCGCCAACACCAGTAGAGCTTCAGCTGATCCCAACTGACGGCGACCCGCTGCATCTCAGAGTGGACTTGTGTCCATTGAGTTTTCAGTGATTGCTTTTCAGAAGTAGATTGCCTGGCCTGACTTCCAAGATGCCCCTGGGTGGACTTGAACCACCCAACCCTCAGTAAGCAGCAGACATGTTAACCATCTGCAGGAGCCAGGCACCCCTAGAATAGCAACCGTCACGGCGTTGACTCTGATCCGTGCAGACCTGGTGGTTGTTCGGGGTCTTGGCATTGATTCTCACTCACAGCCACTCCACACCCAACAGAGCAGAACCGTGTCAGGTCCTTCCTGTGCCTGCTCCACCACCCTTGTTGGGTTTGAGCCCATCCCTGCAACCCCTGGATCAGTCCCTCTTGTTGAAGGTCTTCCTTCCTTTTGGATAACCTTCCACTTTGCCAAGCATGATGGCATTCTCTACGGATAACATGTCCAAGTGTGTGACACCACGTCTTGCCACTCCTGGCCTCTAATGAGCAGACCTCTTCCAAGTCAGAGCTGTTTCTTCTTCTTGGAGTCCATGGTACTTCCCAAGCAGCGCTGGTGGTGGAATGGGTTATAACTTGGGCTGCTCACCACAAGGTCAGCAGTTTGAAACTACCTGCTCCTCTCCAGGAGAAAGAGGAGGCTTTCTACTCTCTTAAAGATTGACAGTCTCTGAAACCCACAGGGGCAGTTCCACTCTATCGTATAGTGTCACTGTGTGTTGGAACTGACTCGATGGCAGTGAGTTGAATTTGGGGTCAGGCATACCTTAGTCCTCAAAGTGACGCACCTCCTCCCTGGCCCCTTGTCTTCCTTCTCCATTCCTCAGAGAAAAGAAATGCCCACCCCGTCCACTGGTCTGGGAATCACCCCACGGTGCAGTCCCCTCTCGTTTACTGAACTAAGTCCTTCAGTTCTTTAGACTACTCCTCTGCTCCATTTCTGGTAGGTAATTTCCCTAGGGGAGCCCAATAGTTTAACTAACATTCATTCATTCATTTTCTTTCTTTTTTAATCATTGTATTGGGGGCTTGTATGACTCATCACAACCCATCGATCCATTTTGTTAAGCACATTTGTATATTCGTTGCCCTCATCAGTCTCAAAACATTTTCTTTCTACTTGAGCCCTTAGTATCAGCTCTTCATTTTCCCCCTCCCTCCACACCCCCCTTCCCTCACGAACCCATGATAATTTAGAAATTATTATTATTTTGTCATGTCTTACACGGTCCGACGTCTCCCTTCACCCACTTTTCTGGTTTGTCTTCGGTGAAAGGTTACACGGCAGATGGGGTCGGCTGCTGTTGGCCTGTTCTTCACGAATGGCCATTCCCACGCGTTCCCTTCTGCTTGTTCCATTTCCAGTCACCCAGCTCCCCCTCCCCAACTGCTCAGCTTAATTTTCTCCCTTTTTCTTAGAAGTAAGTGTTGTCTTTTTGGTCATAACTAGATTTTTTATTAAGGAGCACAGTACTCACAGGTGATATTCTTAGTTTTTGTGAGTCAATCTGTTATTGTACTTAAAGGTCGCCTCAATGGCTGGTTTCGGCTTAAGATTGATAGAGCTCCTCAGGGAGAGTGTCTTGGGGACTTGGTCCAGTAAAGCTGGGCTTTTTAAGGACTTGAGTTCCATTCTACATTTTTCTCAAGATCCATCCAACATGACACTGCTGAGGAGGGTCAGTGGTGATAGCTGGGCACCATCTAATTCTTCTGGTCTGGGGTAATGAGGTCATGGATTCTGTAAACTAGCTTCTTCCCTGAGTCTTGGATGCCCTTCAGCTTTATTGCTCTGGACAAGTAGAGACGAGTGGCTGTATCTTAGTCTTCACTTGTCTTTTGAAGCCATGGTTTTTAGACCAGCAAGTAGATGTGTTGTGATTGCTTTGTCCTAATTGTTTTTAAAAAGGCAAGCACATCTGAAGGACTCGTGACACTGGGCCCTGGGGTGGGGGCTGCATCACAGGTTGGCAGCTGGTGGGAAACCACTTAATGCCATTAGGGGAATGGCTTCCTCCCTGTTTGAATCAGCTTGAGGCGCACATTAAAGTTCTGAAGGTGGAAACTTAATTTTCTCCCCTCCCCCAATCTTTTTTATTCGTTTTAAAATCCAATAAAGTGAATGATGCAAAAAAAACCCCACAGTCCTATTGTCATGTCCAACTCTATGACTTAATAATGCCTCTCAAGATAAGCGGGGCATTGATGAAATGGACATTGGGGCATCAGATCATTGCAATTCAGCTTGACATTAGGGCGAGTTCAGCTTTAATTTTCATTTGTTAAAATGCGGAGAGGAGAAAGCAAACAGTAATACAAACAAAGACACAGAAGGAAACAAAAAGGATTGAAAAGGAATATTAGCATATTAATGGGCCCCATGGGAGCCGTCATTAAGTGCTCAGCTTCTATGGGGAGAGGTTGACAGTTGGCGCCTACCAGCTGCTCTGCAGGAGAGACCTGGTGACCTGCTCTCATAAAGATTAAATCTAGAAAGCACTATGGGACAATTCTACTTTGTCCTACAGGGCTGTTATGAGTCCATCTTAACTCAGTGGCTCCGTGGTGTTGTCTTAATTAATATTCTGTGTTTTACCTCAGTGTGTTCTAATATCCCCTGCAATGGCTACACCAGACTCAGACAACAGTCATGATCAAGGGGTTTATTAAGGAAGTTAACAAGTCGTCTTGCCAGTGAGAAATGCTCAGGATAGTTGTTGATAAGGACATGTTACGAAGTCTTGCAGGTCTGCTAGAAAATTCTCAAAGGGGCGCTCCTCCTCATTCCCAGTGATGTTCTTTGATGCCTGATACCTGATTCTGTCCACACCTCATGATCACACAGGTTGGTGTGCTTCTTCCATGTGGGCTTTGTTGCTTCTGAGCTAGATGGCCGCTTGTTTATCTTCAAGCCTTTAAGACCCCTTTTGATAGCCGAGCACCATCAGCTTTCTTTACCACATTTGCTTATGCACCCACTTTGTCTTTGATGATCCTGTTGGGAAGGTGAGCATCATGGAATGCCAGTTTAATAGAACAAAGTATTCTTGCATTGAGGGAGTACTTGAGTGGAGGCCCAATGTCCATCTGCTACCTTAATACTAGACCTATAAATATATGCACATAGAGCTATTTCTCCATCATCATATATAAATATATTTACATATGTACATGCCTGTATTTAGACCTCTATAAATGCCCTTTGCCTCCTAGTTCTTTTCTCTATTTCCCTTAACTTTCCTCTTGTCCCACTATCATGTTTAGCCTTCATTTGGATTTCAATGCTTCCTCTAGGTTAAATTGCCCTTGATTAAGCCCTACCAGGCCTCCTACACCCTCCTTGCTATCAATTTTGGATCACTTGTTCCCTTGTCCCTGGGTTGGTTAACGCCCACTTCCTTTCCCCTGACTCCCTCTCTCCCATGTTCCTGGAACCGTCAGTCCCACTTTTTCTCCCCCAGATTGTTTATCCTGCTTATCTTATCTAGATAGACCTGCAGAGTCTATAATATTATGCACAGAAACAAGACAGAGCATAACAAAGCAAGAAAAGAAAATAACAGCAAAAAAAAAAATGACAAAAAAGAAAAGAAAAGAAAATCCTGTAAATAGTTCAAGGTCTGTTTGTTGACCTTTAGGAGTATTTTCTGGTGGAGTCTGATGGGGTGCCACACCTTGGCCCCAAAGTCTATTTTTGGTGTTCCCTGGGGACTTCGTTATTCTGTTCCCCTTGCTGAACTGTTGCATATCCTTAGTGTTTTGCCTGGCTGTCTCCAGTGTTGTCCCCTGTAGGGCTATGGGTCAGGGAGGGATGTCATTTCTTATAGTGGCGCCGGCCCTATGGTCCTCTCTGTTCTTTGGCTGCTCTGAGCAGGTATATCGTCCTCAGGGCTTGGTGGGCCAGGATGTGCTCCACTCTCTCTTCCTCCCCCTTCATTTGCTCCTGTGTGCTCTGATCAGATATGTACCTCTCCCTGAGCTGAAGCTTCAGTGCTGTCCTCCGAAGTGAATTCTTCTGTGGGGAGGGAGGGGAGCGGGGTTGTCCATGTAGTTGGGATTGGGGCCGGCCCCTTAGACCTCTCTTATCGGTTCCCTGCTTCATGCCGGTATGTTGCATTCATGTCTTGGAGCACCGGGTTGAAATATGGTCCCTCTTTCCCTGGGGAGATAAAAACAACGCCCCCCCCTTGGATAGGTTAGTGGTATCAGGCATGAAAGAACAAAAAATCATATCA